AATTTAAATAAATAGTTAAATATATCATAACATACTTCTTTGAAACATGCATTGCTATACGAGCACGATCCCCCTCTGTTTACAACTTGTTGTTGTGCACGGACTCCTTTGTTTGACGTCGAACGCTTTAGAAATCCAGGAGTTTGAAAATGTTCGACTGCGTGCGCCTACTTTTCACGTGACATACCATCGGGGGGGGGGGGGGGAGGGGTTGGCTAATGCCCTTGGGATATCTGTAAGCCCCCCGACATTCTCAAAATAAGTATGCGCTTTATTTTTCCGGCCTCTATAAATTCTTTGCAAAGTCGCATCAATGCTCTGCAACAACTGAGCACGCTCGGGATCCAAGTTAACCTTATCTAAATCAAACTTATTCTACAAATACAAAAAAGTTAGTTAGTTAAATACCAATCAGAACTAAACTTAAAATATTGTCCAAGTTACCTTTAGATGAACCACTGTGGCATTCCTTAAAGCGGAGGAAACATTGTCCCAACCAGATACGTTCAAAGGGATGTTCATCCATATATACCTCCCAATCTCACGGGTAAACCAATTACCATGGTTCCCGACAGGGGAATATGTCAGCTCCCTATCAAAATCCAAATCTACAGGCTTTCCCTTGTTTGCCCGTATCAGCTTTGATAGCTAGATGTTTTTTTTGCTAGGCCTCTTCTTTTTTTAGGGAGCTCAGCTGAAAAATATAATTAAAAATATTAGTCACGATAGCTTATAATAAATGGATAAAAATAGCTAATAAATATATCATAATAAGATTTACCATCCTGTTCGTGTTGTCCACGACTAAAGCCTACTGGAGGTGGTGGATCCCCGACTCCATCACCTCCATGTCCTAAGCCCATAACATCTGCCATCACGTAGAAGAGTATCGCCCAACTAAACCTCATATATAGCCTGCAAAATTATAATATGAATAGAATTATAGCAACATATTTTTTTTTCATTTTTTTCAACACATCACATACATAAATACATACATTATACATACAAATACACATATACATGTTTCCTACACATACTCATTATAGCATCATACTTTTTTTTTCTATTATAGAAACCTAACTTTTTTTTAATTTTTTCATACATACAAATTACATATCTAATTTCAAAATTCATACATTACATATATAAATACATTTTTTTCATTTATTCCACATATTACATACATAAATACACACATTATATATACAAATACACATAAACATGTTTTCTACACATACTCATTATAACATCATACTTTTTTTTCTATCATAGCAACCTAACTTTTTTTGATTTTTTTCATACATACAAATTACATATATAATTTCAAAACTCATACATTACATATATAAATACAGTTTTTTTACATACATTATATATACAAATACATATAAACATGTTTTCTACACATACTCATTATAACATCATACTTTTTTTTTCTATTATAGCAACCTAATTTCTTTCATTTTTTTCATACATACAAATTACACATTCACATTCACAAATAAAACACATACAAATAACATACACATACAAAAAAATACTAATGTAAAAACACATAAATGCATCATACACATATAAACACATTCTATTTATAAAATGAAAGATGAAAAGGAACCTGTGGTAGTCTAATTTCGAATTTTTCGGCAAAAATTCCACAGATTCAGCAACAACTCCGGCAACAACTCCGACAACAACACAACCTTAAATTAAAAGCTTAAACTAAGTAAATAAACATCAAAACATAAGAAGAATCGAAAATAGGGAAGAATTTCGACCTTAAATGGGTAAAAATTCCGGAATTGAAGTATGATCGTCTCCTCTTGGTCGTCGGTAATGGAAGTCTAGGTCGCCGGTATTGGTGGCAATGGAGGTTTGGACGGCGGTGGAACCTTTCGTTTGTGCAATGGAGGTTTGGACGACGGCGACGGTGGTGTAAGAAAGACCGGCGATGGAGAGAATGAGAGAAAATGGCAGACAGAATACGCAAGAAACAGCGAACTGGAGTGGTTATCTGCGCGGACCTTTAGCGGCGACGGGTATTAGCGGCGACGAATGAGTATTAGCGGCGACAAGCCTGGAGGGAAAAGTCAGCGCCTTTTTTCACGCCGTTACAACCGTTCGATTGAATACAGATCGAACGGATAGGGTTCATTTGACGCGGATCGTTACTGTTGAGTATTAGCGGTGACGGCTTTAGCGGCGACACTGGGCATTAGCGACGACATGTAACGCGTCATTTACATGTCGCCGCTAATGTCTAGTGTCGCTGCTAAAGCCGTCGCCGCTAATACCCACATTTCTTGTAGTGTTTTTAGGGTATTAGCGGTGACATTGTCGTCACTATTGGTGTCACCGATATTACCTTCATACGATAAACAAAACTCGACCATTGGATTAAGTTGTGAGATCATCGAATGGGGTGCTGCTTGGAAACATCACACGTATCGTGGCTTACTATCAATTCCGGTGGCATAGACATTGCCGACGACATGACAGAGTTCAGATGTCGCCGGTAATGCCTATGTCGCGGGGAATGTCGTCGCCGGTATTACTAGGATTTCTTGTAGTGGACATTGCAAAGAGTGTGGAGTTGCTTTTTTTTAACCGATGACTTGCTATAAAATTAATAACGGCATATGTTATCTATAATGTTTTTGGGTAGGTTGACTTCTTGAATGATTTGTACCTAATTTGAAATGTTGCATATTTTGTATAAAAAAAGTTAACATTGTCGCATAAATTAGGAAAAACACAAAAGCTTGTTGCATAAATAACTAATTAACCCTTCTTGTAGACATGAAAAAAGAAAGTTAAGATGTTCTTTTTATAAAAGAATAAAAGGATAGGTATTTTTACATAAAAGGGGTTGTAACATAAAGCGGGCGTTTCCAAGTTTTAAAATAGTATTGAAAAGTCAAATTAACCTTTTCCAAGTCTTAATCAAAACCTAAGAGGGTCTTTGGGATTCCATTTGAAAACACTTTTTCAAAAAGCTAATAAGTCAAAAATAATGTTTGGCAATTGCAAAAATTATTTTTAAAATAACTTCTTGAAAAATTAAAAACACATTCGAAAAGAAGTTTTTGAAAAGTTAGACATACCTGACATTTTGGAAAAATCATAAGTTAATAAGTCATTTTGGAAAAGTCATAAATCAATAAGTCTTGTTTTCAATGTATAAGTTAGTCATACAATTTTTAAATTTTAACTTATTGACTTATTTATTTTTCCCACAAAAAAACTAATCCAAACACTTTTTCAAAAACCCTTTTTAGAAAAGTCATAAATCAATAAGTCATTTTACCAAAAGTTTTTAGAGTTTAAAAAGCAATCCCAAACACCCCCTAAAACTTGAAAGAAAATTCCCATTGAGACGTAAAGCTTTTCAGCAATGTTTCTGTGTTTTCGGAAACTCGGCTACCCAAGTGCTGATTTTCAAGATTTAAAATTATAAGGATTATTTCATGTACTAATAATTTCCACTTAACTGCTTTATGTCATATATTGTCGTGGAATGAAACCATTTAAAGTTCACCTTATTGCAATTATTTGAGCTTTTTGTGAACTGTAGGGTTGTGTATCAAAATGTACAAACTGCCCACACCGTACTACATAATGAGGTTTCAAACTTTCACGGATTGCAAACCGCACTACGCGGTGCGATTTGCGGTTTATAGTAATAAAAACACGGTTCAAACTGCTCCACACTGCATAAATATATATATATATATATATATATATATATATATATATATATATATATATATAATTTGCCTATTATATTAGTTTTATCATACAAACGACTAATTATAGTCAATATGGCAAGCCATATATAATATGTTCCAATAATATTATGATGAACAATTGGAAGTAATTGTTGCAACAAATCATTGTCTATTATTGAAGCAGCTGTATTATTTCAGTTGTATTTAATCAATATAGGATAATTCAAGAATAGTTATGTATTAGAATTATATTTTAAACTAGTTTATAACCCGTGAGAACCACAGTTATAAAATTAATTAAATTTTCATATTAAAAAATCAAAATTATTAATCAACTATTTTAAATAAATTATTACTTAAGAGATATTTTTATTTATACAAAATTATAATCGTTGATTTAAATAAATAAATGAATTTATATCACCTTATAATCCGTATTAATTTTATTTTATTTTTTAATCTAATATTATTAGTATAATATAATTAGAATGAGAAAATTTAAAATTTGAAATTTAAAATGAAGAATCAATTATTAATTTAATGTAATTATAGTGGGAAATTTAAAATTTAAAATTTAAATTTAAAATGGATAATCAATTATTAATTTAGTATAATTAGAGTGGAAATTTAAATTTTGAAATGGATAATTAATAGGTTGCCAAATGGTATGATAGGTGATATATAATATTAATGAGGAGTTCTAATAGCATGACACTTCTCAATAGGAAAATAAAGCTATTTTTTTATTAGAATAGAGATAGAGATTATTTTTGGTTAATGTTGATCATTATATCACAAATGAAATATATGGCAAAGTCAAACATATAAGGATTGGAGAGCAACAGAGGCATAAACCGGCAAACATAGTAACACAAATTATATATCTGATTACATTTAAAAATTTTAAAATCAAATGATCGGAAGAAAAAGAAATTATATTCATGACAAATTTATTTGGAAAGAATTTGAAACTTGGCTTTACTTTGGCATTTCTTACTTTGGGCGGGTGACATAATCATGTTTTTGCATTTTCCTTATTTTTAGAAAAGTGTCATAACTCATAGAAGAAGAGAGATTAAGAACAAAAAACAAAGCAATGAAACTACAATAAAAGAATTAGAGTATCAACTAACAAGGCATTAGCTAAATTTAGAAAGAACACATCAAACAGCCAAACGATCAATATTTTGAATCCAAAGTAAACTTTACAAAAAGGAAAAGGAAAAAAAGATGAAAACACTTCACACATAAGTAAACTTCCTAAACATGAATTCAAAGCATCGACAATAAATTAACCTCATCATCTTTGGGACAATGATCATGCAAGAGCAAATCCCTATTTCCACTTTCAACAGAATCATCTGACTCCAGCCAATCATCATGAATGACAACTGGAAACTTCATATTTGATGGAAAAATGAAACCTTTAGCTTCCAAACAAGAAAGAACCTAACAACCAAAGAATACAAGTGAGAAGAAATCAAAAATGAAATTATATCAGGATCATAGATTGACTGAGAAGACAATAAAAGGATAGTTGAAACAAGTTAACAAAAGATAATCAATAAAGTACTCCTACAACTAATGATCATATGAAATTTACATTTTACAAAGACAACAATTGTGAAAGCAAAAGAAATTATACCTCAGAACATAAAACCCCAATTTTAAGCTCCTTGACATGGCGAAGTTTTACTATAAATCCTTTCAACATCTCTTCTTCATGTGTTATCTTGTATTGCCTAATCTTTGTATAATCTAAGTTAGCTTCAACTAAAGAAGACACATTTACCAACAAAAGCTTCCACGACATCAAATTACCTTGGATTGTTAGTGATAAAATATTAGGAGCATTGATTTCAATAATATTGCTTAAAGCATCAGGAAGCATGTTGTATCCATGGAACACCAAGTTCTTAACGCTTTTTGAAGTAATATCAAGGTGTCTATAACCATGGCAATATCTCAACACCAAAGTTTCCAATACAGGACTACCAGATAATATGTTTTCAATCAAATCTTCATCTAAATATGCAAAGCAAATACACAAACTCCTAAGATTTTTCCAACCAATCGCCCCAGTTGTATCCAGTATGCAGCCTCTTAATGTCAGTTTAGTAAAACATGAGTTGATGAAGAAAAACTGATCTAATAGAAACCCAACTCCGGCTTCGTAATTCCATAGCGCTAAATTAAGCTCTTCAACGTTACGATTTATAGCATAACGAATCCAAGTTTTGATTCGAGATTCAGATTGAGTATCATAAGTGACAGACACTAGGAATTTCTTGAGCTTCAATCCGCTACATTGAGCTAGGGTTTGGTCGACGAACATAATGTAATTGGACCACAGGAGATTATCATCAATTTCTTTGAAAATGAGAGTAGGAAGCAAAGTCCAGAGATGATTCCATCGTTTAGAGAGAGTACCTGTTCTAATGGCGCCTACTGTGGAGGGTAAACGCGATAGGATTTCTAGAAGCAAACAATCCGGCAACCCACTGATTCGATCCTCTTCCCCCTTCTCCACGATTTCTTGCAACTTTATCCGTTTTTTGGGAATTCTAGTTTGATTTTGCTCTTCTTCCCCCCTTTCCATGGCGTCAATAGAGCGCTCGGCTGCTCTCCCTACCAAAAATTAAACCAACATCAAATTAGACGTAAATGTATACAGATGCTGAAATGATGTTTTCTTTTGCCCCTAAACTTTGAAAAATTATAAAATTCAGCCCTATAAAATGATAATAGTTCGATCTTTTAGAAAAAGCAACATTTAATATGAGCATTATAACTTTCGCTTGTTTGAAGTGTTCATTCTATATTGTTTGTAACTTTTGGATGAATTAAAAGTACTCCTGGTTAGAGATCGATTAGATGTTTTGACACCTATATAATGATTACCGTACATAATGCATCCACAATTCCATGACACATGCTTCCTTCGTCATGTATGTAGGCAAAAGAGTATTTTTTTTCCTAATTGTATCAAATGATGTTAATTTTTTTCTTCTTTTAAGAAGATGACAATACATATGATGTTTGGAGAATGGAAAGAAAATTAAGAGCAAATTTGTATAAGGGTAGGACTTAATAGGATATATAACAACCACACCACTTATGCTCAATCCATGTGTTGGTCAAGAAAAAAACATACCAAGAAACATTTGTCCAATTTGGTCAAGAAAATCCCCTTACTCTGTTAATCATACAAGAATGGAGATTGCATTCTAAATTATAATCAATGCATTGGAATAACAACTAATAATGCATTAGCTAAATAAAGAGAGAACACATAAGCACTTAATCAATCACTATTTTGAAATAAGAAATGATCCACAAGCCAAAGGATATGACCCAATGGAACCAAGTACACCTTACCAAAACAAACAGAAAAGGGAAATGAAAATATTTCACGATAACTAAAATGCCTAAACATGAATTCAAAGCATCAAGATACATTTCTCCATTTTGCTCTAGAAAATGTCATAACTTCATAGACATGAATTCAAAGCATCATCAATCTTCTGTTTCAGCTGAATCACTATCAGACCAATCATAATCATAATAAGCATCAGGAAGCTTCATATTTGATGGAAAACTGAAACCTTTATCTTCCAAACGAGACACAACCTACCACAAAACCATACGAGTGAGAACCTTGCAATGTATTAATTATGAATGCAGCAAACAAAAATATAACTTGCAATGAAAATCCATAACTACAGAGAGAAACCCAAGGAAAATAATTAACAAGCTAATGATAATATATTTTCAATCAATTCTTCATCTAGTTTCTCATTGAAAATACACAGACTCCTAAGATTTTTCCAACTAATCGCCCCACTTGGATTAAAAGTGCAGCCTGCTAATCTCAGATCTGTAAAACTTGAATTGATGAAAAACATTTGATCCAACAGAAAAGTATCATCACTTCGCGTATGCCAAAACTCCAAGATAAGCTCTTCAACGTTACGACTTATAGCATAACGAACCCAATTCTTGAAATGTGATTTAAATCGAAAATCATAAGTGCTAAAACGATAACCGGTAAGCATTTCGAATTTCTTAAGCTTCAATCGGCGACATTGAGTTAGGGTTTTTTTCACGAATGAAAGGAAATCGAAGCCTAAGAGGGTGTTTGGGATTTCATTTTGAAGTTAAAAAGGACTTTTATGTAAAAGGACTGATTGACTTATCAATGAGGGAAAGGAGATTTTAAAAAATGTTTGGTTTAGCTTTTTAGTGACAAAAGTCAATAAGTCAATAAGTTAAAAAGTGTTTGGCTAATTTATTGACTTTTGCTTGTTTTTTATTCTAATAAGTCATAAGTCATTCCAAAAAGTCACAAATTGTAACTTCTTCAAAACTCATTTTCAAAGGCTAAACCAAAAGTTATTTTAAAAGTCCTTATTAAGTATCCAAACATTTTTTTGAACTTATTGACTTTTCAAAAAGTCAATAAGTTAAAAAGGAGATTTTAGATGAAATCCCAAACACCCTCTAAGTTAGGGTTTTGGAGAAATTGACTCATGTGATGATAATCTGAGTGTATAAAAATGAGAGTATCTACCGATTTCCAAAGATGTTTCCATCGCTTGGAGAGTGTACCTGTTCTGATGGCCGCTTTTGTGGAGGGTAAACGTGACAACATTTCAACAAGCAAGCAATCTTGCAACTCACTGATTCGATCTTCTCCCCCTTCCTCCATGATTACTTCAAACTATCAGTGTAGGAGCACTTTTACGATTGTCCTTCTTCCACCATATCCATGGTGGCAGCGCCCTCGCCGTGTTCCAAATGAAAAACTACATGAAACTATGAAACTCGAAAGGTGAATGAAGTTTTGCTTTAGCCCCTAAGCTTTGAAAATATACAATTCCGTCGCTAATATTCAAAGCAATTTTTAAATATTGATTATTACCGCATTTGAGAAATATGATTTAGTAATATAAAACAAGGAAATCTCCTGAAAAAGTACCGAACTTTTGGAAAAAGTTTTAATACAGTCCTAAAAGTTTTTTTTTAATAGAAAATTTCTATTATTTTGAGAAAATCATATAATTTGTCATTTGTTGTTCAAATATAAAAAATGACTTTTTCGTTAATTGGAGCAAAATGTCAAATAGTCAGGACTTTCCTGTTAAAAAAAAAAAAACTTTTAGAACTTTATTGGAAATTTTCCAAAAAATTTGGGACTTTTCTGTAGATTTCCCTATAAAACATATACATTGATCACATGCTAGCAATGTTGGTAAACAATATCATAAAAGTATTAGGCATATATCTAGATTTTGGGTAAGAATAAAATTTATTGTATGGTAATATTGATATATGTACATTGTTGAAAATAGTAAGTACTTGTAAGATGAATATTTGTAAATTTTATCCATCATGGACACAAATATGTAAATGTACTTTTATACTTACAACATGTTTTCTAATATGGTTCACCCAATGTAATTGAGTCAAATCAATTTGCAAATACCATCTAAGATTTAAGCTGAATTTAGTCGTTCAAAGTATAAAACCCGATAGCTAACTTTAAGGAATTTGTGACAAACAATGCCCGTCAAGTCATACTAATTGTAAGTTAAAATTTTATATGTTCATCCTCCCTTTTTAAAAACGTTGTTTATATATTCCTTTCAAACTCTCATTTCACATGGGATTTGAGAAAAAACCGTCACGTCATACTAATTGTAAGTTAAAGCTTTTATATTTTCATCATTTTCTTTCTTAAAATATGATTGATAAAAAAATCAAAAAAATGTGATAAAAGATAAATAATTATATTGAACTATATTGATAATTTAAAGACTTTTATCTTAGTGAATATAGATTTATATTAATATTTAGATATATATTTTTTATTTATTAATTTCATTTTAAAAAATTATTAATGCCATAAACTGGTAAGAAACTATTTAAAATATTAAAATAAATTTGTATACAATAAATGTTATAAATGGTAATTACTTAAATTTTTGTTCAAAAAATATCATGTTGACCTCTAATAACTCGTTTTCCAGTTAAACTAACCACATATCTAATCTAATAAATAAAAATCTTTTTTTGTCACATGTCATATTTTCATTCATTTTGCCAAATGTCATTTTGTAATTATTTTAAATTAATTTTTATTCTACATGTCATTTTATGGTTTTTCTATTTTATTAAATTTCATATAATATTTAAATATAATAATAAATATGTATCAATTTCATTAATAGACTTTCCTTTTAATTTAAAAAATTACTAAGTTAAAGCCTCATTAGTTTCCTTTGTTTATTTGTCAATATGATTTGTTTAAATTTAATAGAGAAAAAAAACACTTTAATTTTAATAATTCAATATTTTTTCTTATTTTTCTTATAAATTCAAACTTTTCAAATGTTTAGAATTTTATATTTAAATTTTCTTTTAAATAAACTCATTTAAAAGATGGGTCTCACACCTAGTCTACTCTAATAAATCAAAATATTTTTTGCCACATGTCAATCTCTAATGAGTTTTGACACTTGCAATTTTGTGGTATTTTTGAAATAAATAATATCCACATGTCAATTTCTGGTTTTTTTTTTCGAATTTTAAAATTAAAAATCCACATGATCTTTCTATCTATATATGTAATGTATTAAATATAATGAATGTGAAATTGCAATAAATTCATTTCTTCCTTCTATATTTTTTTTTTATAATCAACCTTATATTATCGGGGTCTTACACCTAATGCATCATATATGGTTAAAAGGATGACATTTACCAAAGGGCTTGTAGCCCAGCGGTATCAGGTGGTGCCCTCCCTCTTTGAGGTCGAGGGTTCAAGTCCCGTCGTGGACATATGTGAAATATGTTTTATTAGCTTAGGAGTAGATTAGATTTGTTGGTTCAAAAAAAAGGATGACATGTATTGCATATACTTATTAATATTATTATTGTTAGTTAAATAATTAAAGTTATTGATACCAACTGGTTAGCTTATATAATTAATCGATTAGTTTTATCTTCTTTGAGTACCTTCGTAAATTTGATTTTTTGAGACTTGATCTCTCGTCTTCTAACCATAATATTTTCAAAAGTGTAAACTCAAATCCAAAATTTAAATGACACCACCCGGTTCGAAATTCATGGAGTTGATTGTTCCTTTGTCTTCATTAAAAATAGAAATGGCACCACCACCGTCCATTACGAGAAAAAGAATAAGGAGTAAAACCATCTAAGGGCGTGTTCGGCAAAATTAGCTGGTAGCGGGTGGCTTGTAGCGGGTAGCGGGTAGCTTGTAGCTTGTAGCGTTTTGTTAAACGCTACATGAAGTAGCATTTGGATTTGGAGCGTTTTGTTTAAATTAAACGCTAGAAGCTTGTAGTGCCGAACGAGGATTTCTGTTCAAAACGGAGCGTTTTGTCAAACACTAGAAGCTAGAAGCTCTCAAACGCTCCGTGCCGAACACGCCCTAAGTATCTAACGCAGCTACGAACAACCTTATTTTCGAAACCAAGCCTAAAGTAATATTCACGATAAGATCGAAGCGGTTGAGAAGGATAAAATATTGTCTCTTATTTTCATCATAATTGACAAAGGCTCTTGAAACCAAGTCTTGAAATTAGTGTCGTGGACATGGCCGGTCTTGAG